CGTGTGTACACTCAGAGCAGAAGGTACATGTGGAATTATCAATAATGCCGGACAATGGGTCATTTAATCCCACTCAATCCCACCCTTCCGCATCATATCCTACCCCGACCCCTCTCTCTCAACCCCCGACCCCTCTCTCTCAACCCCCCGACCCCTCTCTCAACCCCCGACCCTCTCTCTCAACCCCGACCCCTCTCTCAACCCCCGACCCCTCTCTCTCAACCCCCGACCCCTCTCTCAACCCCCGACCCCTCTCTCAACCCCCGACCCCTCTCTCAACCCCCCGATCCCTCTCTCAACCCCCCGACCCCTCTCTCAACCCCCGATCCCTCTCTCTCAACCCCCCGATCCCTCTCTCTACCCCCCGACCCCTCTCTCTCAACCCCCGACCCCTCTCTCTCAACCCCCGACCACTCTCTTGCACTCTCATGTCCGGGAGCTGTGAGTGTGTGAGGTTCCTCACGTGTATGGCAACACATATGGATGTCTAATAGATGAATAGTGTGTTCAGTATTATTCACATGTGCCTAATCGCATGTTCCCATTCCTTCCATTCATTTGTTCCCACTCCCCCCTCACTCACCCCTTTCAACACTCCCCATATCACAAACGCTTGTTATCATTACCCCAACAAAACCTCCTTCCATTCACTACCAACCTCTGCAGGCTCTTCCTCCAACTATCTAAAGCCTCTCCTCCTCTTCTCTTCTCCCCTCGTCTCCTCTTACCCCCTCCTCTCCTCTTTCTCCCTTCCCTCTCCAACTTCTCAAAATCCTTAACACTCCTTCACCACCACAAAAATACTCGCTGCTCAATAAGGTCACTACGTTTTCTCATCCGCTTCAATTGTACCCATTTGTTTCACATCTTCAAGTATCGACCTGCAGGGATCGATCTCTCTCCAGGAAGGTCGTTGATGCATTCCAAGAAACGTGTGGGGGAGGAGTCCTGGCTCCTGAGGCACTTCTCTTCGAATTTCCCAGTCAAGTATCTCTCTCTCGCTGTCACCCTCTGTGTTGTGTCTGGTGGGTACTCTTTATCTAGTACTCTCTTTATGAGATGTTGTTGTTGTTTTAGATTTAGCTACTCAGAACAAAAGTTCCAAGTAGCACGGGCTATGGTGAGCCCATAGTGAACTTACCTGGCACAGGAGCGCGGCTGTGTATGCTCTAGGAGAGGAAGATACTCCCAGGTAACCAGTGGAGTATACGTACGCATATCCAGAGGAGTATACTCCCGGATCCAGTGGAGTATACTCAAGGATTCAGTGGAATAGCTCACCCTAGGATCACACTCTGTTTTACCCAGTGTGTAAATGATCTTCACGGCGACAAGAGTGCAACAAAAAAAGACCCTTTGACAGTTAGAGAACAGTGAGGTAACTATGGAAACGGAGGTGTATTTGCATATTAGGTTTAAGCAGTTTGTTAATTCATAAATGAACACTATCACCTCTTTCCCTCGCTCGTTCCGCTTGCTCACGATTTGCTAATTGAGTTTTTTTCTTTTGTTGGGAGTGATATTGGTGGTGCGGGGCTCCGGCTGGTCCCTGTGTTTCCCGGAAGTTTTAATTTGATCACTCTAGTCTCCCTCCTGCTCATTTGTGCTGCCAGCTTCGGGTTGTGATCCCTAGTGTGTACTCACCTAGTGTGTGTGTGTACTCACCTATTTGTACTCACCTATTTGTGCTTGCAGGATCGAGCATTGACTCTTGGATCCCGCCTTTCCAGCAATCGGTTGTTTACAGCAATGACTCCTGTCCCATTTCCCTATCGTACCTAGTTTTAAAAGTATGAATAGAGTTTGCTTCCACAACCTGTTCCCCAAGTGTATTCCATTTTTCCACTACTCTCACGCTAAAAGAAAACTTCCTAACATCTCTGTGACTTATCTGAGTTTCCAGTTTCCACCCATGTCCCCTCGTTCTGTTATTATTACGTGTGTGTGTGTGTGTGTGTGTGTGTGTGTGTGTGTGTGTGTGTGTGTGTGTGTGTGTGTGTTTACCTAGTTGTATTCACCTAGATGTGCTTGAGGGGGATTGAGTTTTGGCTCTTTGGTCCCGCCTCTCTGCTGTCAATCAACTAGTGTACAGATTCCTGAGCCTACTGGGCTCTATCATATCTACATAAGCAACTGTGTATGGAGTCAGCCTCCACCACATCACTTCCTAATGCATTCCACCTGTTAAATACTCTGACACTGAAAAAGTTCTTTCTAACGTCTCTGTGGCTCATTTGGGTGCTCAGTTTCCACCTGTGTTCCCTTCTTCGCATACAAGGGGACACTTGTACGCGACACATGTACAAGGGGATGAGTTGTGTTAAACAATATATCAATATATCTATATTCCTCTTAGAATTTTGTAGGTAGTGATCATGTCTCCCCGAATTCTCCTATCTTCCAGCCACGGGAGGTGCATTTCACGTAGCTTTTGCTTGTAACTCATGCCTCTTAGTTCTGGTAGAAGCCTACAGGCATAACTCTAAAACTTTTTCCAGCTTCGTCTTGTGCTTGGCAAGGTACGGGCTCCATGCTGGGGCCGCATACTCCAGGATTGATCTTATATATGCCCTATACAAGGTTCTGAACGATTCCTTACACAGGTTCCTGAAGGCAGTTCAGATGTTAGCCAGCCTTGCATACGCCGGAGATGTTATTCTTTTTATGTGTGTGTGTATTCACCTATTTTTGCTGCAGACTCAAAATAGGATATATATATATATATATATATATATATATATATATATATATATATATATATATATATATATATATATATATATATATATATATATATATATATAATCACCTTTCTGAGTGTTGACGGTGAGATAACGGAGGCTTAGCATGCGAAGTGGAGCAGGAGCCATGCCAATCAGACAGCCTTAAGAACTTCGCTTCTGAAGGGAAAAAAATCCTTTCAAGTGGGTTATCCAGTGGTGCAGATAAAGCGGAGAGTCGGTTTAACGAGAGGAGGCCGGGGCCGGTGTGAGCCTCCATTTACACAGGAAGTGAGAATGCTGAGGATGAAAGTAAGCTTTCTGGCTCTCTCTTCCCCTTTCATTCCATTTTTCAATCCTCTTCTTTCATCACTTTCCATTCCCCCCCTTTTTTTACAACCCTTTCGTATGTTTTTGGTTATGTTTGTTTTTACCCTGTTTTTCTTTTCTTTTTACATCTTTTCCTCTCCCTTTACATTACCTCTTTATTCCATTCCTCCTGTCTATCTCTTTCCTTTTCCATCTTGTTCATCTCCCCCCCCCCTACACCATCATCACCGTCAAGGACCCCCGCGGACTTGTTCCTCCTCTCAGTACTCAGTACAAAGTAAACAGTACACAGTACACAGTACACAGTACTAAGCATATGACCCGGCCTTAGAAAGGGGTCACTTTGTACTTTGAGTTGTACTCACCTAGCTGTGCTTGCGGGGGTTGAGCGCTGGCTCTTTGGTCCCACCTCTCAACCGTTAATCAACTGTTTACTAACTACTTTTTTTTTCTCCACCATACACACACACACACAACCCACGAAGCAGCCCGTGACAGCTGACTAACTCCAAGGTTCCTATTTACTGTTAGGTAACAGGGGCATTGAGGGTGAAAGAAACTTTGCCCATTTGTTTCTGCCTGGCGCGGGAATCGAACCCGCACCAGGGTTCGATTTCCGCAGGACTCGTTCAAGAATTACGAGTTCTGCGTGCTATCCACCAGGCTACCAGGCCCCCGTGTGTGTGCGTGCGTGCGTGCGTGCGTGCATGCGTGCGTGCGTTTTGGGAACCTAACGGCAAGGTTTCATTGGCGCGAGAAAAGGATCGATTAGATACCCCCCATAGTGAATGTACAGTAAGGCGTCCATACTAGGTGGGAAGGTGGGAGTCCCTTAGTGTGGGAGTCCCTTAGGGTGGGAGTCCCTTAGTGTGGGAGTCCCTTTGGGTGGGAGTCCATTAGTGTGGGAGTCCCTTAGGGTGGGAGTCCCTTAGGGTGGGAGTCCCTTAGTGTGGGAGTCCCTTAGGGTGGGAGTCCCTTAGTGTGGGAGTCCCTTAGGGTGGGAGTCCCTTAGGATGGGAGTCCCTTAGTGTGGGAGTCCCTTAGTGTGGGAGTCCCTTAGGTCCCTTAGTGTGGGAGTCCCTTAGGATGGGAGTCCCTTAGTGTGGGAGTCCCTTAGTGTGGGAGTCCCTTAGTGTGGGAGTCCCTTAGTGTGGGAGTCCCTTAGGGTGGGAGTTCCTTAGTGTGGGAGTCCCTTAGTGTGGGAGTCCCTTAGTGTGGGAGTCCCTTAGTGTGGGAGTCCCTTAGTGTGAGAGTCAATGGCAAATCGGTATTGCACGCGCCACCGACAATAGGTGGACGCCAGATGGTCCCATCAAAACCCTCTCCCTCTCCCCTAACCTCATCTCCCTTTCCCCTCCTCCCTCCCCACTTCTCCCCTCAGTTCCCTCAGCTCCCCCTCCCCCTTCCCTCACTACACGTCATGGAGTCACACACACCCCACGTGCACACTCCTCTGGCTCCATTACAGAGACCTTCTATATGTATGTTTGTACATTTATCATCATTTTAGTCATTATTTTTGTTACAATGTAATTAACCGTATTATTGTTCATTATTATACACCAGGAATGATTACCAAAATTATCATTATCCTTATTTTATAAATTATTACGTGAGAGAGAGAGAGAGAGAGAGAGAGAGAGAGAGAGAGAGAGAGAGAGAGAGAGAGAGAGAGAGAGAGAGAGAGAGAGAGAGAGAGAGAGAGAGAGAGAGAGAGAGAGAGAGAGAGAGAGAGAGAGAGAGAGAGAGAGAGAGAGATAGTAAGGCTATGTTCAGGCAGAACGGCCGGATATAAGTAGTACATAATCTCTTGTCTATCAGCGAGCGGCTGTCTATCAGTCCTGGTTGTTCTAAACACGCAGAACAATGAGAGTTGATCCATGGAACAACGCTACCGTCCCAGCCACATATATGCCCAGACCTACATGTGTGAGAACAAAGCGAACACATGTCAACACAGGTGCGCTGAAAATTGTCATGCTGATTGTCTGATCAACATAATGCTAATGAACATGTCTGCAGGTAGACCCAGCGTGCATACATATGTAACTCCATTTGCTTATGTGTTTCAGCGTTGGTTACATGTTTCTATTCTATATGTGTGTGTGTGTGTGTGTGTGTGTGTGTGTGTGTGTGTGTGTGTGTGTGTGTGTGTGTGTGTGTGTGTGTGTGTGTGTGTGTGTGTGTGTGTGGCTTTTCCTTCTTTTCACTTTCTTGTGTTTGGTTTGGTCAACATAATTCAGTCATGTTATTGTGACTTTCTTTTACTTATTCACAAACAACATTATACGAAGATAGGACACCTCTATATTTGGACATCACTGAGTGCACTAGAGTGCTCTCTGGGCCTCAGTGAGTTCTCCAGTGAGAGGCCTATAGGAGCCAGGAAGTTGTCTTGCACTCATTGTAGGTTCCAGGACATTGTCTTGCACTCATTGTAGGTTACAAGACATTGTCTTGCACTCATTGTAGGTTCCAGGACAATGTCTTGCACTCATTGTAGGTTACAGGACGTTGTCTTGCACTCATTGTAGGTTCCAGGACGTTTTCTTGCACTCATTGTAGGTTACATGACGTTGTCTTGCACTCATTGTTGGTTCCAGGACGTTTTCTGGCACTCATTGTAGGTTCCAGGACGTTGTCTTGAACTCATTGTAGGTTACAGGACATTGTCTTGCACTCATTGTAGGTTCCAGGACACTAATTGTCTTGCACTCATTGTAGGCCATCGAAGGAAATATCATAGACATTCGAAACATACTTTCCTTCATTCTTCTTAGGTCAATCAGTCTGTCAGTGAATATATTGGATAGCATCACATCTGCCACCACTGGCCGGCTTCACACCTACCACCACTGGCCGGCCTCACACACCTGTCCATACTGACCAGTCACACACCTGTCAACACTGACCGGCCACACACCTGCCATTAAAGATGTGGCTATGCGACTGAAGGCGGCGGGGCCCACACATACTCTGACTTTGATTAAGTAGGAGAGAACGCCTTATTCCAAACTTGAGGCTCAGCCATCACCCACAGCCCTGATTACGCCAGACTCAACACGAGTTTCCCCTCAAGTTCCTATCTCGGGGCTCTTCCTCCCCCCCCCCCGCCCCCCTCCATCCCTTCCTCCTTCCATCTTTCTCTCCATCCTTTCATCTTTCTCTCCATCCTTCCATCTCCCACTCCCCATCTCTCACTGCTTTCATCTCTCTCTCCCTCTTTCCATCTCTTCCTCCCCCCTCCTTCCTCTCTCTCCCTCCTCCTTCTCTCCCTCATCTCTCTCTCCGCCCCTCACTCTCTCCCTCACACTTCCCTCTCCCGCCCCAGACAAAGAAATAATTCAAACAGCAGATCATTAGATCAAACAATCTGTTTGTATATGTAAAGCTTGTGATTGGTCTCTGTATGACGTGGATTTGAAGACTATTACTTGTTATTTTTTTTGTAATTTTCATACGTAATTATAATGAATCATATGGTAAGCTGTCCCTTACGTTAATTATTAAAATAATTTTGCTTCGTTTGACTGCAAACTATTGCGTTCACTTTTAATGAAATTTTTTCGAGTGATATCAAGGTATAATCAATTAATTTTTTGAGAACCAGAATTGTGATGCCCTTTAATGATCTTAAATACTTTTACTGAATCATCTCTTTTTTTTCTTCCGCTTACGAGACTTAATATATTGAGATCACTTATTAAATGGGTCTCGTAAGATGTAGTTCTAAGTCTTGGTATAATTATCGATGTTTATCGTTGAACACCTTCTGCTTTGGCAGTATTCCTTCACGAGAACTGCGACCAAAACTGTATTCAACATTTTACTCTAAGAAATATTGTTCAAGTGTCAGTAGGGGAGAATAACTCTCACCCTAACTCGAAATTTACTCAAATGAAAGCAAATATTCTATTTACTTTGTAGACAGTCTCAGTACACTGAATACTTGGCTTCTGGTCCTTTTAATCACTCTCACTCTCAGGTGTTTATCTCCGTGTTCTGTCATCAACCTCGTGTTGTTCAGCAAGTATCTGAGGGACAGAGTGACCAGAACCGAATTGTTCAGGACGAAATGGTGCAGATCATCTTTAGATATTATAAACTCAGATGAACCATAAAGAATGGACGGAAGCAATTCTTCATTGTAAAAGTTGTGATCATGTAGAGTGAGTTGAAAGGGAAGGTAAATGCTTCGTATTGTTCATGAGTATGTATAATACGAAGCATGCCGGTTGAGGCCCAATTCAATAGGCGACTAACGAATTGATAACTATGACTTTAAGACTATGACTTGATAACTAGCAAGCACTAAGCCAGTATATTTTCAGGGACTGGAAAGGGAATTATTATTATTATTACAGTAACTGGTATTACTGTTACCAGGCATCTGACGGAAGCTGTGCAAAGTGATGTTGCTATTCATCACGTGAATGCATGCAACAAACTCTTGACACGGAAAATGTAAATCAATAAACCATAAATCATCAGAGACAAAAAAATCCTGCTGCTCTGAAGGCCTGTTTGTCCAATAAATATGCAAGCGACTTGTCCCAATCAACAAACGCTTCACGCAATGCGTCCATGACGACCAACAAGTCGTATAAGTAATCATGTCTAGACTGTAATATTGCGTCATGCGAGTATAATGAAAAATATATATTTACAGTCAAAATACACTCATTATTATTTTACTGTAAACACAAAACAAATGTGATGATAATCGAGAAAGCACATACAAGGGCAATTATGTCTTTATCGTTAATAAAGCAAACAATATATATATATATATATATATATATATATATATATATATATATATATATATATATATATATATATATATATATATATATAGGAAGGAGAGGGAGGCAGGAACAATTGTAGGTGACAAGCCAACACATTACTTTACTGACACACATCGATCAGCCGTGAATAAGGCAATTTAATCTCTCTCCCTCTCTCTCTCTCTCTCTCTCTCTCTCTCTCTCTCTCTCTCTCTCTCTCTCTCTCTCTCTCTCTCTCTCTCTCTCTCTCTCTCTCTCTCTCTCTCTCTCTCTCTCTCTCTCTCTCTCTCTCCTTCCTGTCACCAAGGCTCACAGGGTACCTTCTCTAGGCGCTTCTTAACCTAAGAATGAAATGAAAGGGAAATGAAGGAGGGAAAGTAATGAAATTATTACCGATGCTTGAGTCAGGGAGGGTCATGGAGGCAGGGAGAGGTGTCATGAGGTGACGGTGAGGGAGGGGGAGGAGGGCAGGAGGGAATGAGGTAGAGGATCCATGAGGGAAGGCATGACACAAGAGACACAGCGGCTGTGTAACTGGTAGAGCAACAGGAGGCTGGACACAGAGCAACAGGAAGCTGGACACAGAGCAACAGGAAGCTGGACACAGAGCAACAGGAAGCTGGACACAGAGCAACAGGAAGCTGGACACAGAGCAGCTGGACACAGAGCAACAGGACTGGACACAGAGCAACAGGAAGCTGGACACAGAGCACACAGAGAAGCTGGACACAGAGCAACAGGAAGCTGGACACAGAGCAACAGGAAGCTGGACACAGAGCAACAGGAGGAGCTGGACACAGAGCAACAGGAAGCTGGACACAGAGCAACAGGAGAAGCTGGACACAGAGCAACAGGAAGCTGGACACAGAGCAACAGGAAGCTGGACACAGAGCAACAGGAAGCTGGACACAGAGCAACAGGAAGCTGGACACAGAGCAACAGGAAGCTGGACACAGAGCAACAGGAAGCTGGACACAGAGCAACAGGAAGCTGGACACAGAGCAACAGGAAGCTGGACACAGAGCAACAGGAAGCTGGACACAGAGCAACAGGAAGCTGGACACAGAGCAACAGGAAACGAAGATCTGTTTTATTTTCCCTAGAGATGATGTTTAAACAGAAGAGACTTTTACCATCAGTAGGGAGGAAAAAGAAGAGATCGTTGGGATGAGACAAGAGAGGGAGGAGAGTCCGTTTCTGAGATGAGGGGAGCCGGTTGTGTGAGCCATCAAAACCGGTTGTGAGAAAGAGAGATCAAAGTCTCCCAGGGGCATCAACCGGTCGGCCAGGGAAGGTCCCGTCAGATATGAGTCAGGTGAGAGGAAATGGAACGGAGGAGATGAAGGGAAAGGAGGCCAAGGTTATAAGGGAGACGTGAGAAAGAAGCTGGTGTGTGTAGATGAAGTAATGAGGGTAAGATCTGAGTGGTGTGAGGGAAGGTGTAAATGATGGGGGAGGAGGCTGAGGCAAATATGTGAGGGGAGGTGCACGGTGGGGCAGGGCTGTGAAGGGGATGTGGAGGCTTAGGCAAGAGTGTGAGGGGGGGGGGGGAGGATGAGGTTGGGGCAGGGAGTATACTAATCACCAAGGTCTATCAGGATAAAAGACAACAATATAACCAAACTGAGTGTTCTCTGTTGACCAGACCACACACTAGAAGGTGAAGGGACGACGACGTTTCGGTCCGTCCTGGACCATTCTCAAGTCGATACTTTAGCCACGTTATTGGCACTCATCGCCTAAGGGTTTTCTCTTTGTGCATCAGTGTGATACGATGTTTCTACATCGGCTCACTGCTCTCTCTTAGTCAGAGAGCAGCTGGGGAGATTCCCTGCTCCTTCATCCATGAATGGAAGCAAGCACATATACCCACATGCCCAAACACACCCCACAAATGGGGGGTGTTTGCACCAGCACCACATCATGAGGCAGTGATGTGGTGGAGGCTGACTCCATACACAGTTTCAAATGAAGACATGATTGACCCCATTAGGTTCAGGAACTTGTACACCAGTTGATTTACAGTTGATAGGTGGGACCAAAGAGCCGAAGCTCGACACCCCACAACCACAATTATGTGAGTACGCCCGTCGTCACATGACACGGGGCCATGATAAACAGAGGCAGCTGAGGTAGAGCTGCCGGGTTAGAGCTGTAGAGCAGCAATAGAGTTGTATGTGCCGGGGGCCGTGTGATATTGTGGTAATGACAATACCTCGAGGGATGTGTGCACTATTGACGGTCTTATGATCCGTCAGGGAGTGTTTGGCTCCCGGGGAAATCTTGTTGCATTCAAATCCGATTCGAATTTGTATCTGAATGCCTGAGACACGACGGCATCCTGTGACCCCTGGCTTCTCCACGGCCTCAGAGGAGTGATATTTCGAGTACAATTTGTTCTCAAGGTCGGTAATATGAGAGAGTTCTCCTCTTATTCTCATCTTCTGTCTCCTAACAAGGCAGTATACCTTTACCCAGCCAAATGCCTCTTCCAAACTGTTTAGACTTCTTTTCGAGTTAATACTGGATCCTCTTTGTTGGTGAGTGTTAATGTTTTTCTAATAATCTATGAAGATAGTGTCTGTCCACTCAGTTTAACTACGTTCAATGCATTTTAAGACTTAAGTAAAATTCTTAGATAAGATCTGCATTTCTCTGAAATTATGTTGGCGTTTACAGATTAACTTTATCCATTGCAGAAGGACTTTTAGGCTTTTGAATTTCTCTCTGCAGTACCTTGCAGGGTATGCCAGAGAGTGATACCAGCTTGTTTAGCTAAATAGGGATGTTTTCAAGGCGTCTGCTGCCTCTTTTAGTATCCATGGTGAGATCCTGTCACGTCTTCATGAGCTTCGTCTCATCCAGCGCCCTGTTTACCTTCCTTATCCGAGAACACAAATGTTTCTCTGCTCTCGGTAAGTGTCGTCAACTCTGTTATGTCCGGGAGAGTCTGTTGTATTATGTGAGTTTGTCTTGCTTGCTTGCTTGCTTGCTTGCTTGTTTGCTTCACTGGCTCCAAGCCGGTCTGGGTTCACGTGAAAGCTGTCTTCAATCAGTAAACAAGTAGGGAAGCAAGGACAGGTTGTTGATGATTAATGAAGCGTCAAGGTGTGAGGCAAACTGAAGCAGGTTGATGCCTCATGTCACCCTTGCTACACCAAGAGCCCTGACGCTGCTGGTCTGCTCTCCCTGGGTCTGTGTAGTCTCAAGAGTCCAGCGCCAGCTCTGGGTCCCGTTTACTGAAAACTTCTCCGTTTAATGTAACGATTTAGTTCGACACTTTTTTTCTGTATTGAATTAGCTTAGTCGTACCACACCTTCGCCAAACCCATTCCACTTATTGGCAAGTGCCCTATTTGTGTCTTTAATTTCTACTGCTCCTAGCTTTGACCAATGCCTCTTTGTCTAACATTTTAATTCCTCTTAGAATCTTAAATATGTGTCTATCGTCTCACGATTTTCTTCCTCAACTAGAGTGGTGGAATCTAGTTCCGTCGGTCTTTACTCATAACTCAGTCCCCTCAGCTCAGGGACGAGCATTGTCGCATATAATTAAATCTAACTTAACGTAGTTATGTTTCTTCTTCAGGTCGGGATCAATGTTGGGAAAATAAACTCAAGAGTGGATCATGTATGGGATGTATGTAGCATCAATACCATCACCAGCATCAACACCAGCCCCAGCATCAACACCATCACCAGCATCAACACCATCACCAGCATCAACACCATCACCAGCATCAACACCAGCCCCAGCATCAACACCATCACCAGCATCAACACCATCACCAGCATCAACACCAGCCCCAGCATCAACACCATCACCAGCATCAACACCATCACCAGCATCAACACCAGCCCCAGCATCAACACCATCACCAGCATCAACACCATCACCAGCATCAACACCATCACCAGCATCAACACCATCCCCAGCATCAACACCATCACCAGCATCAACACCATCACCAGCATCAACGCCATCACCAGCATCAACACCTTCCCCAGCATCAACACCATCCCCAGCATCACCACCATCACCAGCATCACCACCATCACCAGCATCAACACCATCACCAGCATCAACACCATCACCAGCATCAACACCATCACCAGCATCAACACCATCCCCAGCATCAACACCATCCCCAGCATCACCACCATCACCAGCATCAACACCATCAACACCATCACCAGCATGGCCATCACTGTCTCCACCACCGGAACGAGAGGAGCTCCACCCTTCCAGCGGATGTCCTGGCTGTAATCACACAGTCGCCCCTAAGCAACACTAGACTAACCCAGAGCCACATAGCAGGCGAGTAGAGTAGATGAGCAGCTGCGGGCACAATGTGTGTACTGAAACTCACTATAATGACACTATATAGTGAGAAACTCACTATAATGAAATTCACTATAATGGCTATATTAAAAAACTAATTTTCGGATGTAACCTATATCTATGTGTAGGCTACCACGTTCACTCCGACCAAAATCACGCAGGTCTGCAGCGAAACAAGTGCTTGACTTAAGAAGACTAAGCTCTAGGGCAGGAGAGAGAAGTAACAGAGAGAATATGATCACTACATACAAGATACTAAGAGAAATAAGGTGAATATGGATAGACTCTATAACGGGACGGGAAATACGTAGGCAACTGGGACATCGCTGAAACGTAAATGAATCGAAAGATATACAAGGCCATTTTCCTTTCCCTATACGGATGGTCAGCAAGTGGAATGCATTTACAAAGAAGTCGTGAAAGCCATCTCTATCCATAACTTGAAACACCTCCAGGACCATCATCACCATCACCACCATCACCACCATCACCACCATCACCATCACCATCACCATCACCACCATCACCACCACCATCACCACCATCATCACCACCATCACCACCATCATCACCACCATCACCACCATCACCACCACCATCACCACCATCACCACCAACACTACCATCACCACCACCAACGCCACCTACACCAGAGCCTACGTGAGGACTTAACATAATTCATACATTACTAGATAAGGGGAGAGGGTCCACCACTGCCCAAGCAGCGTCGTCTGTGGGGCACCACTGGTCCCAACACAGACCCACAGGACCTCTGTGGGGCACCACTGGTCCCAACACAGACCCACAGGACCTCTGTGGGGCACCACTGGTCCCAACACAGACCCACAGGACCTCTGTGGGGCACCACTGGTCCCAACACAGACCCACAGGATCTCTGTGGGGCACCACTGGTCCCAACACAGACCCACAGGACCTCTGTGGGGCACCACAGGTCCCAACACAGACCCACAGGACCTCTGTGGGGCACCACTGGTCCCAACACAGACCCACAGGACCTCTGTGGGGCACCACTGGTCCCAACACAGACCCACAGGACCTCTGTGGGGCACCACTGGTCCCAACACAGACCCACAGGACCTCTGTGGGGCACCACTGGTCCCAACACAGACAGTACCTCTGTGGGGCACCACTGGTCCCAACACAGACCCACAGACCTCTGTGGGGCACCACTGGTCCCAACACAGACCCACAGACCTCTGTGGGGCACCACTGGTCCCAACACAGACCCACAGCACCTCTGTGGGGCACCACTGATCCCAACACAGACCCACAGGACCTCCACCAGGTCCCAACACAGACCCACAGGACCTCTGTGGGGCACCACTGGTCCCAACACAGACCCACAGGACCTCTGTGGGGCACCACTGATCCCAACACAGACCCACAGCACCTCTGTGGGGCACCACTGGTCCCACAGACCCACAGGACCTCTGTGGGGCACCACTGGTCCCACAGACCCACAGGACCTCTATGGGGCATCACTGGTCACAGCACAGATCCACAGGTCCGTCTTAAGAAATAAACTGGGGAAGTTAAAATGAATTCAACTCACCTGCAGCAGTCCCCCCCTACCCCTTCCCTCAGGCCCAAACCCCCAAACTCGTATCGTTTCAACAAGTGTAAATATTTGGGTGTGTTTGTAAACTGTCTTTGCTCGGACCAGTTTGCTTACCACCCTGCTAGTGTGCTCCTCCCCTCCTCCTCCTCGTCTCGACCCCCTTCATGTTACTCTCACCATCT